GCTGCTGTTCACTTCAAGGGTTCGGTTCCTGGTCCTAGTGTTGCTACATATAGGATCTTGGCTGCTATTCCCAAATGGAATATCCATATGTAGCAGGAGCGTGCCATTTCCGGAAAGCCTTTAATGGCTATTTAGACTCCAAATGACCCAGATGGCAAATTGCCCCTGTTCTCCTTGAGGACAGTTGTCTTTGTCCTGGTGTTAAAATGCATCACAGATTGCCTTTTTTTGGAGAAATGTGGACTTTATGTTGGGATATCTTATAACCCCTTTTTGGCTAGAAAACGAGTCTTAATAGTGTTTTTATCAGATCACTCTTTGGTGGGGCTACAAATGAAGAGGTCATCTATGTACTGAAATAGGCCTCCCTTCTTAAACTGTAAGTGTCTTAGGTCTTGAGCTAAGGCCCACACAAACAAGTGGGGGCCGTTACTAAAGCCCTGAGGCAAGACAGTCCAAGTAGTATACTGCTAGTGAAGTCTCATTTGGGGATCTTCCCAGTCAAAGGCAAAAAAATATTGGGAGGTAGGATCCACAGGGTGAGAAAAGAAGGTAACTTTGAGATCAAGGACAGAGAGCCTTTTAGTGTGTCCCCTGGAATCTGTGCTAAAAGGGTGTTTCGGTACCACTGATTCACTGGTGGCTCTGAAATCTTGTATGAGGTGTGTCTCAGTTACTTTTCTCATTACTGAGATAAAATATCTGACACATGTTAAGTGAGGAAAGGATTATTTAGCTCACAGTTTGTACATATTTCAGTCCATAATTAGCTGTCTCCAAGGCAGGATGGCATTACTGACAAGCATTGTAGAGGAGAGACAGTTCGTGATGGGCAGAAGGTAGCAAAGCAAGCAAGGGACAAGACAAGGGACAGGTCTCTTTCTGTGCCTTATGTTGCATCCAGGCTGCCAGAATTAGGGTGGTGCCAGACTAATCAGTGGACTGATGTAATAATATCACCCACTCTTAATCCTAGCATCACCAGGTGTGGTGGTACACGCCTGTAATCCCAGCACTCGGGAGGCTGAGGCAGGAGGATTGTTGCGAGTTCGAGACCAGCCTGGGCTACAAAGTGAGCTCAAGTCCAGCCTGAACTGCACAGCGAGACCCTGTCTCAAAAAGACAAAAAAAAAAAAAAAAAAAAAAAGAAAGAAAAATCCTAGTACCTTTAATCCTAGCATTACACCATGAATCAATCACACACTCTAGACTTAGGAACCTCTGAAAAAGTCCCACCTATAACTCCATCAGGCTTTGGGGAGACACCTAGACATAAGCCATAACAGGGTGATACTCTCCTGATGGCTTGACTGTTGGTAAAATGGTGTACTGCACAGGGAGTGGCATGGCGTCAGCAACCTGTAGCCAGAAACTTGCCAGTAATGGACATCAACCCCTGTACTGTTTTCCTTTTAAGGTAATACTGTCTTTTGTGTGGGTGTAGATTAGGGTCCTTCAGCTGAAGACTACTGGAGTGAGCTCAACACCCCTCCCAGGGTGCTGTCATACCATGCTTAGGGACCAACACCCAGCAGAGAAATTGACCCTGTGGGGTTAGGCTGACTGGGTCCCTTGCAACTAGGACACAGGCTGCCAGAGGTTTGCACGTCCAAGTGGCCTTGAGTAGGAAGAGTGTATCTTTTAAAATTATTGGTACAGGGCATCCAGTATCACCATAACGGCAGCCTGGAAAATAAGACCTTCCAAATGGCAGTTCAGAGCAGGGGTAACTCCCTCAAGGCCCACGATAACTTCAGAGTGGGATGAAAGCTCACCTCAGTAAGCAACTGGCACAGAGTAAGTCATGCCAGTATCACAGAGGCTGGTCTCCTACATCTAGGGTAGCTCAAGGCTCTTGCATGGCGATGAGGATGTCCTTGTGTGGGAGCCGTGCAGGCCTCTTCGGAACTATCATTCGATGTCCAGGCGTTCTTCCCGGGCCTCCATGGTGACGGATGACCTCATCCCGTGCTGGGAACAAGGGCAGTGCCTCCTCCAGTGTCAGGGGTTTTCTTCCATGTTCCGATAGGCTCCACAGGTTCGGTGGCTTTGGAGGGCACTGCTTTGCCAAGTGCCCCGTCATTTGCCCTTGAAGCACAGTGGCATATTTCTGTCCTCTAGATTACCTCAATTCCCCTTAGCACTGCGGACTTTTTATGTCCATTAGGGCAAGCATGGCTTTAACTTGCCTTTTATTCAACTTTTGTGTGTCCTCTATGTCATCATGGTTATTAAAGACCAAATAAGCCACACTGACAATGGCATCCCAGCTTGCAAGCCCTGTTGGAGATTCTGGAGCTTTCTTCTGTTATCTAGAACTGACTGACTAAAAACTACTGTTGTAGGATAATCTGACCTTCCCTACACTCCACATCTGACGTATATATATCTCCAGAAATTGAACTCAGGACCTTGCACTTGCGAGGCAGGCACTGCACCACTGAGCTACATCCCCAGCCTGGATTAGTATATTTATGGAGTGTTTGTTCAAACCAGAGTTGGAAAACACTTGGACTTTTATCAGAGCCTTGACTGATAAACCATCAGCAAAAGCTTACAGAGTCCTTGGAAAATTTATCCAGTTTCTCTTAGCACTGCTGAATATCCGTACCTGGAAAGGGGACTTGTTGAGAAGACATTCAAGCAAAGCCAGGTGGGATGGATGCTAACAGGCCCACCCCCGGGTTAATCCTCACCTGTTACTGGGGACCCAACAGAGCACCTCCTGACACAGTTCTGGAGCTGTTTAGCCCCAGTCAGGGTGTGATCTGATAGGGTTGAAGTCCTTGGTAGATTTCTTTTTTTTTTTTTGTCTGTCTCTTTGAGACAGGGTCTCGCTGTGCAGTTCAGGCTGGCCTTGAGTTCCCTTGTAGCCCAGGCTGGTCTCAAACTCACAACAATCCTCCTGCCTCAGCCTCCCCAGTGCTGGGATTCCAGGCGTGCACCACCACGCCCGGCAGTAGTTTCCACTGAAACCTTATGAAGCCTTTCCCTGGCTCAGCTGCCGTACGAGAATTTTACAGGGCATTCTCTGGGTCTGCAACCCTGTTCAGCTCAGAACATGCTCTGAAGAAGCTGAACAACTTAGGGGCACAAGTATGCGGCCTTGTGTGGACACCTGCGCCATATCGTTTTGAACCGTTGGATCTCCCACTATGAACACAACCAATTTTCTGCATAAGGAGGCCCGAGTGGTGTGTTCTCCTGGCTGGATGCCTCGGTCAATTTCAAAACCACCTGACATCACAGCCTGCCTGTCTAAGGAGGGGGAGTGTGTACCCCACACTGAGTGGCCTCAAAGACCCGGACCATTTTCTTGAGTTTTTGCTAGCTCAAGCCACAAAAAGTATACCCATCTGGTGACCAAGGGAAACTTCAGAATGCAACAACCACAGGTTACACATCCTTTGAGACAGGGACATAGCGGTTGTCAGAACAAACAAAACCAGGTGGAACGGAGAGAGGTAACCGACGGCAGAGCAGTCACCCCGCGGAGATCACTGCAGGCCGGCTTTCGCGCCCAGGAGAAGACAGTGACCTTGGCGGCCTCTTGCAGTGGCCGCTGCTGTTCCTGCGGGCATAAAAACCGGATCTTTGCAAATGCACAAGTTTTTTCCCTCTTCCTCACCTTTTAAGTCTCTGTCTCCCTCTTCGGGTCAGCATCAGGAAAGTCAAAGAATTTACATTTGTTTAGATGGGGAAGCAGGGACAAGAAGGGCACGGCTCACCGTGAGCCCCGGCCGCACTGGGCTCTGCCAGTACCTCTGGTGCTACCCACGGGGCGCCTAACTCCACGTGGCCAGGGGAGCCGCCCGCTGCTCCGCCAGAGAGAAGCGACAGCACCAGGGAACCAGGTCCAGGCCTCCTGGTCCCCGGGGAGACACCAAGGAAGCCGCGTGGAGGACTGTGTCCAGGCCAGAGCGCCCCAAGCCCGGCTCCCGGCATCCCTGAGAGCAGAGACGCTTGCCGCCCACCCCACCTCAGCCTGGCTCGGCTCAGCCTTCACGGAGGCCCGGGGAGCCATGGCTACTTGTAAACCGTGTAACAAGGGAAATCCCCATGTTACAAGGACCAAAAGCAAATGACAGCCCCAACCAACAGGCAAGAGCCCTCCCAGTCCCCGCAAAGCCCAGAGCCTTTTGCTCCGCAGTCTGTCTTACCCCGGGAGTCTCCTCCACGGTGCCAGCTACTTGCGCTCTGTCCCATGACCCAACTAGCGCATTGCCCACCTGTGTAAAGGGGAAAAAGAGGGTCTCCTGAGGGAGTTACCTTCCTTTTTCGTTGGGCTCCTTTCAGCTGTTGGCTGTTGCTGTCTGCTGATGTCTCCTGGCTGGCTCACCAAGGGATACCACATGGTGGATCTGACAGCTAGATTCCAGGCTGTGTATGGCAAGCAATGAACTGAAGTATCCATCCAGTGGTAAAACAAAAAACAGCTGCATGCATTGAAGATAACGAAAAGTTGTAAGCTGGGTGTGTAATCCCAGCACTCAGGAGGCTGAGGCAGGAGGATTCCCCCAAGTTTGAGGCCAGTCTGGGTTACACAGTGAGCTCAGGGCCAGCCTAAACTACACAGCAAGAGCCTGTCTCAAAACACCAAAGAACCAAAACAAAAAAAAGTTGCGCTCAGGGCAGGTCTGTGCCAAAAGAAACTAAAATGTGGCACAAACAGAAAAGTGGAGCTGGGCTGACAGGACCATAAAAAGCACATAGAGGAAGCAGGCTTTTGGATTTTAAAAGCTGTTCGCCCTGGCCTGGGTGCCTCCCATTAGGTCTCTGGGTAAGGCTGACAGGAATGTGTCATCTCAGCGGCTTCCAACATGCACGCATGTCCCAGGGTTCACTCTCATGAAATTGCATGTATGAGATGCAGTGCACATTCATGGAGTCTGGGGAAAGGGTTACTGCCGGTCGGGCCACGGGGTCTAACATGCGTGTGCTCCGTGTGGAGCTTTAGAGACTTCCTGAGTCTTCGTTATTTTATTTTTGACTTCTCTCAGAACGACTGGCCCTGGGATGTTGCCCAAACGTAAGCGGGGGCAGCTGAGTGGTTCCCCAGCCCGAGCCGTGCTCCCTGCACCGAGAGGGCTGGCAGTCTTCTGCTCTCTCCCTGCTCGGCGAGGGCCATGTGCACCACCTGCCCCGAAGACTTCCGCTTTGGACCAGCTCATGCCCGCGGGCCTGGAACAAGCCTGTCAGTCTGGGATCGCACCTGCCCACTGCCTGCCTCTCCGCGGGCTCCCTGCCTCCGCTTTCCGCCCTTTCTCTGAACCCTGCAGCGGCCCTTAGCACTTCGCAGCCACCGTGGAATCTGTGTTGTCAGGTAAAGTGGGATGTGTCACTGTGTTATAGAGTGTTAAAGATACTCCTAGGGTTAGAACAAACGAACCTGTGATTGCTCGGCTCATAGCTATCAAGTGAACTCTAGATCACCCACCGCGATAAAGCTGACAAAATTGAAGCAGTTTGTGAGTTAATTGTTATTCAATAGATTCTGACACTGTGGAAAGACATAAACATGCACACTCTGTGTTAATGGTGTAGCTCAATCACAGTAGTCTGGCAGTTCCTTAAAAGGTTACTATAGACTTACCCTTTAACCCAGCAGTTCCATGCTTAGGAATATACCCAAGGGAATGAAGATGTATGTCTGTATAAAAACCTGGATGTTTCTGGGCGTGGTGGCGCACGCCTGTAATCCCAGCACTCGGGAGGCTGAGGCAGGAGGTTTGTTGCAAGTTCTGTACCAACCTTGACTACAAAGTGAGCTCAAGACCAGGCTGAACTGCACAGTGAGACTCTTGTCTCAAAAAGACAAAACAAACAAAAAAACCTGGATATGAATGCTCATAGCGGTATACTTTTTTTTTTTTTTTTTTTTTTTTTTTTTTTTTTTTTTTTTTTTTTTTTTTTTTTTTTGGTTTTTCTCCGGTACCGGGAACCGAACTCACGACCTTGCGCTTGCCAGGCAGGCGCTTTTGCCACTGAGCTAAATCCCCAGCCCCCTAGCGGTATACTTTTAATAGCCAAAAAGTGGACACAACCTGAAGGCCCCTCAACGAATGAATGAACCAGTACGATGTGACCTGTCCATTCGACAGAATGTCGCCGACCATGAAGGAATGAAGCGCTGGCACGTGCTACAGCACGGAGGAGCCTCAGGGACACTGCGCTAGTGAAATGAGCCAGCACACAGGCCCCACATGGAACGTGAATATAGTTCTATGTATAGGAAAGACCCAGCAGAGGCGAATCCATACAGACGCAAAGTGGAGCGGAGGTGGCCTGAGGCAGGCAGTGAGGTGCACAGAAGGGTTGCGGAGTGACGTTTGAAGGAAATAGGGCTTCCTGTGGGGTGACTGAAAGTGTCCCAGCCAGGCAAGGTGGCACGCACCTGTATCCCAGCACTCAGAGGCTGAGGCAGGAAGATTACAAGTTTGAGCCTAGTGTAAACAATTTAGCAATATGGGGAGATTTTTCTCACAATAAAAAAGGGCTAGAGATGTAACTCAGTGTGAAGGCCCTGGATGCAATCCCCAGTTCCTCAAAAAAAGTTCTAAAGTTGTAATAATTGAGTAACTCTGTAAATATACTAAAAACCTCAGAGTTATATATTTTAAACGGTTGAATATTATAGTATGTGAATTACATTTTAATACAGTTGTTTTAAAAGGATGGTCAGAATCACTTGAGAAAAGCCCTCAAAATCAAAGAGAAAGACCAAAGAAATGGCAGCTAGGCACGGTAGTACCCTTGTAACCCCAGCAACCTGGGCAGCTGGGGCAGAAAGATGGCAAGTTCTAGTTTGGCCTGCAAAACCTGTGAGACTCTATCTCAAAATAAAAAGTAAACAGGGCTAGGGATGTAGCTTAGTGTGAAATCCCTAGGTTCAATTTTCCTACTCAAACCAACCAACCTAACAAAAATGGAAACAATTTGAAAAGCAATGGTGGAAGAAACACTTGAAATAATAACAAATATTATTAGGGATAAAAATAAATATTGAAAACATAAAACAAGAACAAATCAATTAGGAAATAAGAATAGGTTTTGGGAGTTAGAAAGAATGTCCAGCCCAAAACCTAAGGTGATTTTAAAGGTGTAGTATAAGATCCAAACGATAAAGTTAATGAAACTTCCAGAAAATGGAACAAGAAGAGACACAGAGGATAGGGAATTGTGATGTCGCAAAACACACATTTGGTCTCTGTCCTCATTTCCTGGCACAACTACCAAAACCCTGGGAATCCTAGCAGAGGCCGAATTTGTACGGTCACAGGGAAGCCCAGGGTGAGAGTAGAGGTTTGGGACTTTCATCTGCAGCCCGCAAACCTCCGGGGAGCACGGAGAGGCTGAAGGGTGACCACTTGCCCGCAGCCCAGGAGGGAATCAATCCCGCGTGTACCACGAGGCCTCCACAGGGTCTCCGAAGGGCACGAACGCGCGGCTGTGCCCGGGAGAGGGTGTGGGGGCTCCTGTCTCTGCCCCAGCACTTTGCCCTGTGCGTCTGTTCATCTGTAGCCTTTAGGATAACCCTGCACCTGTGCTTCTTTGCGTTCTGTGACCCACTTAAGCAAGACAACTGAACCCAGACAGGGAGCCCCAATTTACTGCCAAAAACGCTAGTGAAACGACACCGGGCTTGTGACTGGCCTCTGATGTGGGGGACATTCTCAGGAACTCATCCTCAACGTGTAGGGTCTGATGCTATTTCCAGGTTGCAAGCATCAGATCTGAACTGGGTTAGAAGACGCTTAGCTGGTGGGCGCTGCCCAGCTCGACTGCTTGCCTGTGGGGGAAGCCCCACACCTTTTGGGGTCTCCCACGTTGGCTGCTGTGGTATAAATGCTGAGGAAAAATAGACTTGACTTTCCCAACAGAGACGTACATCTAAGACCAGGAGAGGGCCCGCGGAGGGGAGCCTACCTCCAGCCCACAGGAATTAGCAGAGTTGAAGAATGAATGCAGAATGTTCCCAAAACCTGAGGGCACACATCTCTGGGCTAAAGGCTTGAGTGTCCTCAATAGTAAGTGAAAAACAATCTAGAGCAAGGAGCAGCATCATGAAAAGCAGAGATGAGTCTAAATGCATGGCTGGGAGTCCCTCTCGCTGGACCAAGGATCAGAATGAATACAAATCCCTCGAAATGCGGGATGGATTTTCACCCTAGAATGTTTCTTTTTGGCACCAGGAATCAGACTCAGGACCTTGAGCTTGCCCAGCAGGTGTCTGTGCCACTGAGCTCTATCCCTGGTCACTCTAGAATTTTATGTCTCCTCCTGTTTTCAGTCAAGTAGAAAAGGGACATTTTCATACAAGCACGGGCTCAACATTTTTCCACGCATAGATCAAGAAAAGGAAGATGCAGCATTTGGTAAAAACAGGATCCAACACAACACAGGAAAGAGACAAAGCAAGGTCCTGAGATGACAGCTGTTTGGGGGGTGCAGAAAGCAGCCAGTCCAGACTGCAGGAGGAGGAGGAGGAGGATTTGAGCTCCTGGAAGGCGGCCTGGTCTCACACAGCTCCATTACAGAAGCTGGAAAGGAAAAACCAAACAAAGCCAAACCAAGAGGTTTAAAGAAAACAAAGCAAATGGAAGAAATAAGGTAGCAGATCCAAGAAGAACAAACGTTTGTACCAGAAAGGAAATCTATCACAGTGTACTGTGTGGCTCAAAGACTCTCTACCATGGTCTTAATATTTTTTCCTTTTTCTTTCTTAACATATTTCTCTTCAATCAGATTTTATTGGTACAATTTAGATATGTAATGATCACATGCACCACAGAGAATTTATACCTGTGCATGGTATAACCTGATTCTTTCTTTTCCCATTCCCCCCCCTTGACACCCTCCTCCCCTCCCTATTTACAAAAGCTTTGTTTCCATTTTTCCTTCTTTTCTCACTTTGTTTTTTTTTTTACTTTTCCCAATAATACTTCTATTGATAACTGATTCTGCCAAAAATTTTGACAGAAATATATAGGAAAACAGACCTTGGAGTGGGAAATATGAGAATGACCACAATATGCAGAGGACAGAAATATTTAACATAAGTAAACAAAGAAATAGCATTATAAACGTGTTTGTGACATAGTGGCAAGGCCAGAAGAAACAACCTGGATGGTGAGAGTGGTTGTTTAGGGACTAGGAAATAGCAAGAGAGGAGTTTTCTTAATAATATAACTTTTTAAAAGTATATTTATAAAATAAATGCATTTTAAACAAAAAAGAAAGCATCTTACCAATCACCTAAGCAGTGGTCTTTAAACTTGCTTTGTTAGCAAAATGTTTTCCTTCCTCAACATCTTATGTTGGGTAAAAGCACAGCTGCTCTCACCCACCAGCCGCTGGGGCGTCCTAGAAACCAGCTCTGAAGACAGCGGTGCAAACCACAGATCTGACTTACATTTCCAACGCAACTGAATTTAGACAAGGTTGGGACTGAATCAAGGCCATTGATTCCTTGCCCAGGATTCCTTTTCTTATATGACCCTGCTCCTGGAATTTAAAAACAGAGGACAGAGGCATCAGTGAAATCAAAGAATGAGACCATTGCGGCTATCTGTGCTCACACTGGTGCTGGAGGAGGAAGCGAGTTGAGACTGACCGGAAGTGAGAGCGCGGGCGGAAGTTGAGACTAACCGGAAGTGAGAGCGCGGGCGGAAGGGGAAGAGGGAGGCAGGAGGCCGCGTGCCACACCAAGGGTGGCATCAGGTTTACCGCAAATGCCTGGTTTGGTCAGCTGACAAGACCTGCTTGGGCACTGAGGTGGATTTGAGGTTGAATCTGGGGTCGGCCTTGATCAATTGGAGGCATCTTGGGAGAGGGCGGGAATGGCCCGTATCAGTTACTCTCGGCATATTGTGAATTCTCCACCACCCAAGTGAGACGCAAGCTGCTTATACTGTATCAGTGCAAAGATTAAAGCAAAACTAGAGCTCTGTCCTCTCAGACCTGTGCTGGTCCATCTCTGTTGGCAGGTGATGCCTTTGGCCTTGCGGATCTAAATACAAATAAGGAGCCTGGATTCTGGTAACTGCCCAGTAATTATGGGGTGTCCCCTTCCCACTAGGGCATGTCTGAGGAGGCCGTGTGGAGTCAGAACTGTACTTAGCGCTGCTCACTGTACTGAGGCCATCCCCCCTCAGAGGACACAGTGGGGAGAGCAGGCGCCCC